AAAAAAGAAATACCATTTGACTCAGCAATCCCATTACTAGGTATATATCCTAAAGAAGTGAGAGCCAGGACAGGAACAGATATATGTACACCCATGTTCATCGCAGCACTATTACCACAGCAAAAAGATGAAAATAACCTAGGTGCCCATCAACAGAGAAATGGATAACCAAACTATGGTACATACACACAATGGAATACTATGCAACACTGAAGAATAATGTAGAATCTGCAAAACACTGCATAACATGGATGAACTCAGAGAACATTATGCTGAGTGAAATAAGTCAATCACGGGACATTGTAAAAAGTCAAGGAAAGGTTTATATATGGAAGGAAATTTTCTTTGTTGGTTACCAAGGGTGGGAGGGGAAGGGAACACTGCCTTCCCCCAAAAAACATGCATTGACCCATGTAACTTTGGGAGCTTTGGTGTCATAGTGCCTAAGGCATTTGGCTGCTAACCAGAAGGCTGGCAATTCAAACCCACTAGTCACTCCTCAGGAGGAAGGTGGGCAATCTATTTCCATAGAGATACTGCTTTGGAAACCCAAGGATGGGTTGCTATGAGTTGGAAATGACTTGACAGCAGTGAGTTTTTTTATAGGGCTGGAGACTGTTCTTTATCTGTGAAGGAAAATGCTCCAATTTTCTTTTCATTTACTGGTATTTTCCACACTTTCTGCAATCTCTGTCTCTTTTTATGGGGAAGAAAAGAAGGGAAGACATTTAGAAAGTATGATCAGAGCTATGATATATGGACCTTTCAAGGATAATGGGATCCTGGAAGAGGAAGCAGATAATTCTACCTTGGGATAATAAGGACATGTCACCTAGAGAAGGTGACCTATGACCTAAGTCCTAAGAGAAGAGTAAGAGCTTACCAGGTGGAGATAGTGAGAAGGGAAGGCCTTTGAAGCAGAGCAAATAGCTTCTGCAAATATGTGGCCTTGTGGTAGGGGCACAATGAGCGTGGATGGGTTCAGAGTGGCATGGTGGGGAGTACAGGAAATGAGGCTGGGAGGTTGCCAGGGACCTGATCTCAAAGGCTGGGGATGGTTAGGAGCTGGTCATCATTTTTATGACAATGGGGAACCATGGAAGGATTTAGGCAGGTAGTGGACTGATTGGGTACTGCTTTGGAAGTTCAAGCTGGTACAGCGTGAAAGATAGGCAGCCTAAGGGCAGAGATGCCAGGGAGAGGCAGTAGTAGCAACTCAGGGAATTAAATGAGGTGAGGATAATGTGGCAGAAGATGAAAAAATGCGGGTGGGTCTAGAGATTCAGACTGATGCAAGTTTTAGCACCTTCCTCATGACATGAGATTTGTGATTCTGGACAAGGCACTTCTCATTTTCTATGACTTAGCTGAGGTGACACTTAATGGGACTGTGCTTGGCTGGTGATGTGTATTAAGTGGGTGTAAGTAGTAGCTCCTTCCCCACCCCTTTGTCCAGAAGCTGCTGACTGATGTTCTCTGAGTCACCCAGCTGGTGCCAGGGAAAGTCTGGGGCTGCTTGTTCAGAGAGAGGAATATGTTCTAGCTTGCAAGGCTCACCATGGTGCCTGGGCATCACTGCAGACCCCAAGGGCTGGGACCAGATCTCCCAAATGGTGGGGGAGAGGAAGACTGAGCCAGTGTAACTAGGCAGATCCCCAAACTCAGATCAGCCTCTGCTCCCAGACCCCTATGGTCCAATCATGTTGGGCCTGGCTGGGCCTTGAGCCAAATCACATCTGGTCCCTGCCTTCAAGGAGGTCACCATCGAGTAGGGGAGATTTACAAGGCTAGCTCCTCATTATACCCTTATAGCAGCCCTGGGAGGAAGTGCCATGCTCTCCATTTTAGTGATACCATAAGACTGAAGAGTCTTCTGGGTCAGGACAGAAATCACAGCCTGCCAACTCCAGGCCCTGAGTTTCTAGCCTGGGCCAGGGGACTCTAGTCTAAGCAGGGCCTGAGGGGTGTGTTAGCACATTGTCCTACCCAGGCCTAGCCTTGATGTCACCAACCTGTGCTTCAACTGTGGGTGCTTGGAGCAGGGAGTGGAAGGTGAGTCTGGATCAATGAGAGACCATGCCCCACCTGGATGCTTACCTGCACAGGAATGAGAAAGCTTCATGGCCTTTAGCTTCCCACTCATCTCCAATCCCCTAGAGCCACAAGAGTACCAGGAAGGCTGCTGGTGCCTTTGGTCCCCGGGCAGCTTGTCCTCACCTCTAGATGGAGTGGAGAAAAGCTGAAGGAGTCCCTGGTTTAAGCTCAGCCACTTCTGAGCTCTCTAGACTTGGACAGGCTCTGCCTCCCTCTGAGCTTCAGTTTCCTGTCTGTAAAATGGGGACATTTGCAGACCACACACAGTAAAGATGATAATGTATGAAAGGACCTCACTGGCCAGAGAAGGCACTGCTTCAGAGAACTCTAGTGCTTTCAGGTGGAATATTTCCTCTGAGGTGAAGAGTCTGGGAATCAGGGGACTGGGCCCTGCATTGTTCTCTGACTCTGAGACAGTCATGTCCCCTCTCTAAGTCTCAGAACCCTGCTGGAAAGGTGGCTTGACCTTCTGTGTCCCTAGGGAGAGAGGGATTTTGTTACTACCAGCCCAGTGAGGAATCAATCTTTGGCCAAGGCTAAGGCGAATCCGGTCCTAGCCCTCTGGATTGTTGGAGCAGTAGGAAGAGACAGAAACAAAACCCAACTCAGACCTCCTGGAACCAGTTCTCTAGGACTGGTATGAATTTGTCAAGGTTTAACCAGACTGTCCAGCCTTTAACCCTTTCAAGACCATATTATTTTCTGCTTTGAATTTTTTATTGAAGCCATCCATATGTTTTCAGTAATGGAAGGCATTTTGAATGAAATTTTTAAAAATTAGGTAATACAGATTTTGATACAATTAGTGGGATACTTCTGCCCCAAGGGGTTTCTGGTGTTGGGGTTGGTGGGGTGAGGCTTGTTTCTTCAGATTCATACAGTTATACAGACCCCCACTGAATGGCAGAATACACTAAAATGGGATAGCTGCTTCCCACGAAACCCCAGAGGTAGAAAATACAGGTAAGCATTATATGCCCCACTGATCATGATGTAGTTAAAGACCCTGGGTGGAGCAAATAGTTTGGACTCTGCTGCTAATTGAAAGGTTGGCCATTTGAACCCACCGAGCAGCACCAAGGAAGAAAGACCTGGAGATCTGCTTCCATAAAGATGATAGCCAAGAAAACCCGGTGGACCTCAGTTCTACCTTGCAACACATGGTGTGTGTGGGGTGGTCACCATGAGTCAGAATTGACTTAAGGACAACCAGCTTGGCTTGGGCTTGTCCAACCTTTGCACATACTGCTCCTTCTACCCGGATGTCATCTCCTAATCTCTTCCCACCCTTCTTACACACCACAGGTGTCCTCTCAGAAACTTTCTCTGCCATGTAGTCACACATCACTATCCCTTCCTCCAGGCTCCCACAAAAATTGCCTTTTGCTGGGCACTTAATCTGCATTGCTTAAATCATTAAATCCTCGCAGAACTGTGAGTTAGCTGTTATCAGCCCTCCTTTGACAGAGAAGGAAGCCAAGGTTCTGAGAAGTTTGGTTACAAAGCCATGGGAGGCCACTCCTCTCAAGTCCCATGGTCCAGACTCTCACCACCTAGTCCAGCAGTAACCTCAGCAGGTCTGAGAGAAGCATGTAAATGCTGGCCATTATGTCTGTGAATGGTTTCCTTGCCAGGATGTGAGGTCCTTGAGGGCCCAGGAGGGCTCTCAGATTGACAGCCATGGGAAGAAATATCTAGCTATGTCAACCAAATATGCTGTAAACTCTTATCAGTCAAGTGACTTTCCCCTCTTCGGGCCTCAGTTTCCCTTTCTGTCAAATGGGAGTGAGGAGGAATGAGCTCAGGACTCACACGGCTCTTTCCAGCTGAATGTTGAAGGCTCTCAGAGGAATTTTCTTCCGGAGCAGGTCCCAGGGGGTTGTGAGACGGGACAGACTGCAGAGGCCAGAAGGTTCCTGAACAGTTCCAGGGAAGTTCTGATTAACATCAGATGTGCCGATCCCCTAGCGCTGAGAAATCCACCCTCACCCCACCCCCAGCCCTGGCAGCGCTGTCGCTTTAAGGACGGGCGGGGTCCGCTGGGCGGTGGCGCGGTACCTGGAGCCTCCAGGAGTTCAGGCTACTCGGGCGACTCAGCCTGACCCGACGGCCCGCGGGGACACAGATACAAGGAGAGGTAGAGCTGGCTGCGGCCCCCCACCCCGAGCCCGAGTCCGGGGACCTGGCTGTAGTTGGCAAGCTGGGGGCTAGTAGTCACCCCGGGAGTCGAGGGAGAGTCCCAGGCTTCGCGCGACTCAGCAGACATCCTGCGTTTGCGCCCGCGGTGGGTTGCAGAGCCCGTGGGGTGAAGTTGCACTCTGCTGCCTTCCGCGCCCGGTAGGGGTTCGAATGGCCTCGACTGGCGGGTCCGGACAGGATAGACCCCTAGGAGCCGCAACCTCTGAGCGCTTTTGAGGGGCGCGGAGAGCAGGGCTAGGGGGCGCCCACCTGAGCCTGCCCTTGCGCCAAGCGCATCCTGCAGCCTTGGATGTCACCGCCCCTAGGTTCGTGCCGCCCTCGCGTTTGACCGCCACCATGCCTTTATCCCAGCTGAGTTCCCAGCGGATGGACGACCTATGAGCGCCTGCAGCGCGATGCCTGCGCCGAAGGTGGGTATGCGCTGCGACCTTTAGCAAGCACCTTGGTTCTTTCTAATGCTACCTCTCACAAGCCTCCTTCCCTTGACATTGATCAGGGGTAGCTTGGTGGACAGAGTCTGAACTCCGAATCTCTTCCTAGCTGTGTTCTAACTCTCTAGGTGGCCTTGGGTTGGGCGCTCAGGCCCTCAGTATCTCCAGTTCAGTGTGATGGTTTTAGATTTCTAGTTCAGACAGTTCAATTCATTATATTAAAAAAAAAAAAAAAAAGACATCCTTTGAAGTTCACTGGCAATCCTGAGATGGAAGTAGGAGCAAGAGCACAGGGTTCCCCTAACCACAGGTGTGCTGGTGGGGCTTTCTCCTGCCAGCTCTCTTAACAGCCAGAGCCTTTCTTCCAGCATTCTTTCATTGAACTAGTGCCATAGTGCCTAAGGCATTTGACTGCTACCCAGAAGGCTGGCAGTTTAAACCCATCAGCTACTCCTGGGAAGGAAGACTGGGCAATCTGCTTCTGTAGAGATACAGTCTTGGAAACCCACGGAGGGGTCGTTATGAGTCAGATTTGATGGCAGTAAGTTTTGATCCACTTGCCAGGGGAAGAAAATTGTCTGTCCCTGGACTGGTGGGCAGGTAGGACAAGAGGAACTGGGGGGGAGAGGGGGCTGTTCTCAGTGTTGCTGTGGAAATAAAAATCATGACAGTAAGAGAATACATGGCTTTCATATGTTTTCATTTTCATGGGCAATATAGTATTATTTTGCCCATTTTACAGACCAGGGAACAAAACTACAGAGAGGTTGTGTTACCATCATCTGGGACCCTAACCAAGGGTCCTTGCCTTCTAGTGACAAAGAATTGAACAAGAGAGGCAAAATGTCCACACAAATCAAAGTTTATTAAAGAGAGGGGAGGGGCTCGTGAGGGAGACAGGGAGAGGGGCTTTTACCTACCCTAGCCTCCAATCTCTCACCAAACAAAGGAGTGCCTAAGGCACTTGACTGCTAACCAGAAGGCTGGCGGTTCAAACCCACCAGCCACTCCTCAGAAGGAAGGTTGGGCAATCTACTTCCGCAGTGATACTGCCTTGGAAACCCAAGGAGGGGTTGCTATGAGTCAGGTCTGACTCGACGGCACATTAACAACAACAACATAAAGGGTTTGAGGCAGGAATAAGGAATCATCTTTAGTCATAGAACACTTAGGGTTTGGGGGGTGGAAGTGGGGTATGAAAAACGGGTGTGTGGGCAGGAAGTAGCCAAGATGGAATCCACTGCAAAAGCTGTCTGAACAAAGATGGAACCCACGTGAAAGCTGATTCTGGGATGCTGTGCATCCATGAGGCCTCTGGACCCTGTTTCGAGTCCCACAAGGGACTCCTGTTCTTGAGTGCCTCTGGTGGAAAGCCATTTTGTCGGTCAAGTTGAATTTTACTGCCCATGCTCTGCACCTGGTAAGGTACTTGAAGGACAACTCAGGAGGTTTATCAGCATTTTACCATGGTCAAGCTCCTGGTCTTTAAAAATGTACCTTTATCTCACCTAAGGGCCTGATTTATTAATCACAATTAATTCTCTGTCACCAGCAGCAAGAACACTGAGTCAGAGTCTGGTTAATTCAGCCAGCCCTACCTGTCTCAGTCGGATAACTTGCCCAGTGGCTGAGCCAAGTGCATCCTCTGTCTAGCTCTTCACCACTTGCTTCTCCCTGGGAGGCAGGAATTTGAGCTCAGAAATGTTGAGCAGACTGCCTGAGGTTACAGAGTGATAGAAAGAATGGCCACAGTCAGAGGCAGCAATGAATCTGATGCAGGGAAAGGCTTCCTCTGGCTGGAGTGAGGGGTAGGGAGTGGCAGCAGCAGAAAGGCTTCTGGGAGAAGCTGGTGTTTGGCTTTGAACAGGGTGTAGAAAGAAGATCATGGCTGGGAGCAGAGGGGTCCCCAGGCAGGGGTAGCAGCAAATATAGAGGCCCCCAGGTGGTGGCAGCTGGTGTGTGTGTGTGGGTAGTGAGGGAGCAGAGGAAGGGGATGACACACGTGGGGCCAGCCTAAGAGCCAGGCTTGGGAGTGGGACTTCTTTGGGATAGGAGAGTTACATCCTCAGGTGCAGGGAGCCATCTCTCTCATCCCCCATCAAAGTCTAGGGTCAGGAAGCACATAGAGGTAAAAGGTGAGTCGACTGCCCTAACACAACCTTTCTGAGATAGGTCAGGGAAATCTTGGGCCAAGACAACTTGATGATAGTCAGCCCCAATTTAAAATAATAAGAAAACCGCTGCAGAACAACTGAACAGGCTACAGGCTCTGCCTTATGCAGTGGATGCTGATTCCCTCCTCACACCCACAGCCATCGGACAGGTTAACATGTGCCCTGCCTGCCCACAGGGGATCCACGTGAGAGAGAGTGAGACCCACCCAAGAGGACAACATGCTAAGGGGCAGTTGCAGCGGCTTGTCTGAGGGCCAGGAGGAGTTGAGCCAGGAAGAAGGGTCCATGAATTGAATGAGTACTGCCCATGCCAAAGATTTACAAATACATATATTTGTTGTTAGATGCCATTGAGTCAGCTGCAACTCATGGTGACCTTGTGTACAACAGACCAAAACACTGCCCAGTCCTGTGCCATCCTCACAATGTTTGCTATGCTTGAGCCCATTGTCACAGCCACTGTGTCAATCTGTCTCGTTGAGGGTCTTCCCCTTCTCTGCTGACACTCTACCCAGCATGATATTCTTCTCCAGGGAATGGTCCCTTCTGACAACATGACCAAAGTAGGTGAGAGGAAGTCTGGCCATTCCTGCTTCCAAGGAGCTTTCTGGCTGTACTTCTTCCAGGGAAGTGTTGTTCATTCTTCTGGCAATCCATGGTATTTTCAGTATTCTTGGCCAACACCACAATTCAAAGGCATCAATTCTTCTTCATTTTCCTTATTCGTTGTCCAGCTTTCACATGTGTATGAGGCGAATGAAAACACCATGGCTTGGGTTAGGCCCATGTTAGTCTTCAAAGAGACATCTTTGCTCTTCAGCACTTGAAAGAGCTTTTGCAGCAGATTTTCCCTGTGTCACTTGTCATCTGATTTCTTGACTGCTGCTTCCATTGGTGCTGATTATGGAACCAAGTAATACAATGTCAATCATTTCTTCATTTATGATGAGGCTGCTTATTGGTCCAGTTGTGAGGATTTTTGTTTTCTGTTTTCTTTTTGCACATGAGGCAATTGAAAATACCATGGCTTGTGTCAGGTGCACCTTAGTCTTCAAAGTGACATATTTGCTCTTTAATACTCTAAAGAGGTCTTTTGCAGAAGATTTGCCCAGGGCAGTACATCCTGTGATTTTTGTCATTGCTACTTTCATGGACATTGATTGTGGATCCAAGTAAAATGAAATACTTGACAATTTCAGTCTTTCCTCCACTTATCTGGTGTTGCTTATTAGTCCAGCTGTAAGGACTTTTGTTTTCTTTTTGTTGATGTATAATCCAAATGGAAAGCTGTAACCTTTGATCTTCATCAGTAAGAGTGGTTTAAGTCATCTTCACTTTCAGCAAGCAAGGTTATATCATCTGCATATCTCAGGTTGTTAATAAGTCTTCTTCCAATCCAACATATACTTGTTGTTGTTAGGTGCCATCAAGTCATCTCTGACTCATAGCAACCCTATGCACAGCAGAACGAAACACTGCCTGGTCCTGTGCCAGGCTCATGATCCTTGTTATACCTGAGCCCATCATTGCAGCCACTGTGTTAGTCCATCTCATTGAGGGCTTTGCCCTCTTTCATTGACCCTCCACTTTACCAAGCATGATATCCTTCCCCAGGGAATGGTTCCTCCTGACAACATGACCAAAGCAGGTGAGATGAAGTCTGGCCATTCTTGCTTTCAAGGAGCATTCTGGCTGCACTTCCAGGACAGATCTGTTAGTACTTTTAGCAGTGCATGGTACTCTTAGCATTCTTATCCAACACCACAACCAAAAAGCATCAAACTCTTCTTCAGTCTTCCTTATTCATTGTCCAGCTGTCACATGCATAAGACCAAAACCAAACCAAACTCACTGCCGTGGAGTCATTTCTGATTCATAGTGAAACCTCCTTGGGTTTCCAAGGTGGTATATCTTCAGAAATTGATTGACCAATCTTCCTTCTGAGGAGTGCCTGGTGGGTTTGAACCACCAGCCTTCTGGTTAGCAGTCAATGTCTTACGCACTATGCCACCATAGCTCCCACATGCATAAAACGTTATTGAAAACACCATGGATTGGGTTGTTGTTGTTGTTATGTGCCATCGAGTCAGACCTGACTCATAGTGACCCCTCCCTGGATTTCTGAGGCAGTCTCACTACGGAAGTAGATTGCCCAACCTTCCTTCCGAGGAGTGGCTAGTAGGTTTAAACCGC